TGGTAGTCGCGGCTTGCTCCCTCTCTCGTATCGCCGCGGGTACGTCTGTGGGCGTCGAGGGTGTCGTGAGCGTCATAGGGAAGGCCGAGACGCTCATACACCGGGACTGTGGTGCGCGGCATGCCGCCTTGCTACGCCTGGTGGACTGACACGTCCATGTTGGGTCGCTCTGAGGGGGCGCGCTGGCTGGCGTCGACCTCGCATCGTCGGGATAGCGAGCTCTCGGCCTGTTGCGCCGCTGCACGATCGAGTAGCATGCGAATCTCACGATGGGCCCGATGATCCTCGGGCGTCGCGGGCCCCGGAAGCCCCTGGAGCAAGGCCGTTGTGGCGGCGATGTTCTGGCTTCCCCGGGTGAAGTGTGGGAGGGCTTCATCATCCTAAATGATCCTCCGGTTCACGTCACGAGCCACGATGCGTGCACGCCCACCGTCTCCATGGCGCTCGATCTCTCGCTCGAGCTCCGCACATTCTAGATCGAGCTGGAGTCATGTTTCCTCGAGCTCTTGGTGCCAGGCCCTTAGCTGCTCTACCCGCAGGCGAGGTGGGGCCCCTGCATCCCCCTCGACCTCATCGTCGAGGTCGTTCGTTGGGGTAGCCTCTCCTTCGTGGATGCTTTCGACGTACCCCTCGGGGATACCTGTCATAAAACATTCATGAGAGGGGTGATGGCTGCCCCTGCTGGAGTTAGAGTTGGAGGGCGACTCCGATTCTCCTACGAGGAGGTCATGGAAAGATTACACGACATAATCGGTCATCCCCACAAACTTGTCGTTCGTGGAGGACGGAGACGTGCGTTGCGCCATAAGGTGGCCAATAGTCTCGGCGGCGTTGCGCAGACCGAACGGGAGCGCTGTCGGGGCGCTCCGGATGAGGTATTCCGAGGAAAGCGGCTCTCCTCCGGCAAGCTGCATCATGACGTTGGCAAACGAGAAGGTGAGGCTACCCAGGTCCTGCCGGGACGGTCGGGGTCCTAGGATGGTACCGAGCTGGCGCTCTAGCCTCCCGTAATCGAAGCTAAAGAGCTGGTCACTCCCAGGGGCATGGGCCTCCGGTGCGTGCAGCTGCAGCTCCTCAAGAGCCTCAACGATCGCGTTGAGGCCGGCGGAGTGGAGAGGTTGGACGGCGACGGGAGCCTGCATCAACTCTCCCTCCGTCGTGATGATGAAGTCCAGGTTCCCGAAGCGCACGTGCACGCCCGGGACCCAACTAACACCATGACTAGCAATCCGAGGCCTAATGTGGAAGTCGATACGTGCAAAAAGTCCCTACCTGGCGCGCCAACAATCGGTGTTTCGAGTTACCACCGATGAGTAAATTTATAGTATTGCGCATCTGACTCGGATGGAATGCTCAGATGACACGAGGTTTATACTAGTTCGGGAAGAAAGTCCCTACATCCAGTTCATTGCTGCTGCTCATGTTATTAGCACTAAAAGTTTATAGTAGGGGTTACAAACGGGCGAAAAAGGGAAATGATCCCAAGTCTCTGGTGGAAGAAGTGAACGGTTGCTGAGAGCTCGAGCGCTGCTCAACCGTGTGTTCGTGTCGTGCTTTTGTGCTGATCTGGATCTGATCGATTTTCGATGGGTCGATCCGGCTTGAATCAGATCTCCCTCATGAGACGCCTTGTTTTCCCTTTTATAGGACAAGGGAAAGCGCGGTTATAGCGGAGGAAAAGAGAAGAACGAGAGAGAGAAGGCCTTTAGGATCGTCGGGTCCTTCTTCTTCTTCACGCAGGTCCCACCGATCTTATAGATGTCAACAGGGACGACTCCACGTCGCGGCCCTGTTCATCACTGGCGCCGTGCGCAGGCGTCGTCTGCCAGTCAATGCGTTCCATTCTGTCTCGGCGGATGTCATGGTAAACTGACGTGCCTGTCAGTGTTCGTACGAGGGTTAGACAGAATAGCACCGGCACGCCCGACGCTGTTCTTGATGTGAATCCTCAGGTATGGCCCGTCATGCCCATGGTTTACATCGAGTCGTGCTAACCTCTTTCATAGTGTCAGAGTTTTGACTCAGGCCCATACGCTTGGACCTAGAGTGGTTGGCGGCGGTATGGATCCTCGTCGGCCGAGGCGAAGTCTGCGGCCTTAGGATCAGGTGAGTCGGAGCACGAACCCAAGAGGTCGGGCAAGACGAAGCCCACGACCTCGATGTCGGGTGAGACGGAGCCTGCGGCCTCGAGGTCGGGCGAGATGGAGCACCCGTCCTTGGAGTCGGGCGAGACGGAGCCTTCACCCGAGGGGTCGGGCAAGGCGGAAACCGCGTAGTTGGAGTCGGGTGAGACGGAGCCCGCGGCCTTGGGTGAGACCCCCGCGGCCTTGGGATCGGGTGAGACGGAGCCTGTACCCAAGGGATCAGGCGAGGCGGAGCCCGCGCACCTGGGGTCGGTTGGAGCTGTAATCACGCTCTTGACTGCTCGAATAAATCAATATTTATGACCATTAGCTCCTCTTTTTCGGGTACTCTAGTATCGATCTCTGATAATGATAGGTTTTGTTATTTGTTAGGTGTAATAGATAGATAAAAGAATACTAGAATAGCTTCGCGCGCGGAGACCGGCCGCCGCCGCCGCGCTGGGCCTGACCTAACAGTCCAACCTGGAGTCCACACATAGAACAGGGCCTTGTTTAGATTGCAAGTTTTTTCACTTTCTCTCCATCACATCAAATATTTAGACATATGTATGGAGTATTAAATGTAGATAAAAAAATAACTAATTATACAGTTTGATTGTAAATTACGAGACGAATCTTTTGAGCCTAATTAGACTATAATTAGACAATAATTGTCAAATAAAAACGAAAGTGCTACAGTACCCAATACTGATTCCTAGCAGCAATCTAAACAAGGCCCAGGATAAGACAGCTTCGAAATGCTTTTGCGTGTAAAATCCTTCTCCGTTCCGACGCCGACGCGGATGGGGTGGCTGACTCGACGCCGACGCGGACGCAGCTAGGGCGACGGTGGCCGCCGCCCGCTCACAATCACAGCAGCCTTCACGCGCGTGGGTCGGGGCTCGCCGCAGGGCAACGCGACCCGCCACCCTCCAGTTGCCACCACCACCACGTGGTTCAACTGTCGCTGGTCAGCCAGCCGTGGCCCCGGCTCCGCTCCTCGCCCACCTGGTCAACACGTACGACGACGGATCGAGTCGCGGACCAGCTGGAGCCGGTTCCGAGTTGGCGTCTGGCAACGACCAGCTTAGCTGACCGCGCCCCCGGCGCCGATCTGTGCGTTCGCTCGCTGGACAACGCGGATCCAGCCAGCCGCCTCCGCCTCCGCCTCTGGGAGGGTCTTTTGACAGCAATCGGTTCGGAGAATTTAAAATAAACAAACTTGGTTTGGACTGCTTCGTTAAGCGTCGTGTACAGGTCAATTACTTGGATTACCTTCAGATTACATCGACGTCTTCTGTTGTATTCAGCGTCACAGAGTTGGGTCGCCGCACCTGGCTGACATTGTAGTTACAGGCTACGGATGTGAAAGCCTTTGGATTGCGAATAGGACGGAGACGGAATGCAAAATAACAGAAAATCGTCGCGATGTTATCCAAAGTACCACCAATTCGACAAGTTGGAATCGTATACTGGCCTTATAAAACCGTGAAGTATCTTGTCGGGAAATTATTGGAGGATTATGAGGTGAAGACGGATTCGTTAATCGGTCTGTTCGCTGATTGGTTTCTGGGCTGATAAGCTCGACTAATGCTTATTTAATGTGAGAGAAAAATACTATTGACTGGCTGATAAGTCTTGACTGAAACCAATAAGTGAACCAGCTGAATTCCTGTTGTTGTCGAGAAAGGCAAAGAAGGCTAGTTTGGTTGACGTCTTGATAAATCTACCTGGCATAGGCATGCATCCCAGGCGTTGTTTTTTGACGTCTGAGATCGGATGCATGTGCCTGGGTGCACCTCCCCAGGCCAGGGCTCAAACCAAATAGACCCAGAACGCGGGAGTTGGATACAGCAGAGGACGTGGTAAGGAGTCACTCCCCACTCGTCACAGCTGACGTCACACGGGCAAAGCGACGTGGCAGTTCCTGTACGCGACACTTTTTTCTCGCAGCCATATAGTATGCCATTGAGGAAAACATCCAAACCAACCCCCAGGAACAGATAAAATTGCCAACAGTTCTTTAAAGCGGGCCCATTGCCCTTCGAACCACCAGCCCCCTCTGGTGGCTTGGACGATCACGGCTGTTGATCATGCCGGCGCGGCCCGAACTGCTCGTATCTGCACGTAGGATGAAAACGGATAGGATATAAACGGATATCACTGATATTATATTTGTTTTTATATTTTTTTTTAGATTTGGATTCGAATATAGACAGTGTTAGCCATGCCGGATAGAATATGATTAGATGTCGACATTATAAATATACGATTTGAGTATTAAGATACGAATACAGTATCAGATATTAAATATTCAAACTTGGAAAGGATAGATTTGAACCCCCTAAATAGATTCGTTCTCAAATACAGTCAAAAAAATATCCCTAACGTTTTCACCCTGTCTGCACCGTCCAGTGAGCGGCCCCCACAGGTGAAGGTGGGGCGTGTGACGCCAGCTGGCATCGGAGGGGGCAAGCGCAACCTTATCTTCTTTTCCCGAGGCAACTCGTCCCTAGGCGCGGTCCAAGGAGCTGTAACACACCGACAGACCTATGGGTCCATATGCCAGTGACGAGTGGTCCAGGAGAGGCCTCGCGCGCCGAGACCAACACACCCGTGGAATATACGGGCGCGTCCTTTGCCTTCCCCCCTCCCCGACCTCTCGCCTCGCGCCGGTCGCGTTTCCCATTCCGAATTCGCGAACCCACCACCTCTCCCTATATCGCCGCCGCCATCAGATCAGATCAAAGCGGAACACCAACTCCTCCTCCTCTTAGGGTTTGGTGAAACCATCGTTCCCGCTGATCCGAAGGGCTAGGGTTTGTTCACCTCTCGCGGCGAAGCTTTCTCTTTGCTCTGCTCGGTGTTTCAGCCATGATGTCGCGGTCGTATACCAACCTGCTCGACCTCGCGGAGGGCAACTTCGCGGCGCTGGGCCCGGCCGGCGGCAGCGGGCGGCAGAGGCAGGGATCGTTCGGGATGAGGCGGATGTCGCGGGTGATGACGGTGCCGGGGACGCTGTCGGAGCTCGACGGCGAGGACGAGTCGGAGCCGGCGGCGACCAACAGCGTTGCCTCCGACGTGCCCTCGTCGGTGGCGGCGGACCGCGTCATAGTGGTCTCGAATCAGTTGCCCATCGTCGCGCGTCGAAGGCCCGACGGCCGAGGATGGTCCTTCTCATGGGACGACGACTCGCTCCTGCTCCAGCTCCGCGACGGCATTCCCGACGAGATGGAAGTGCTCTTCGTCGGTTCCCTCCGAGCCGATGTCCCCGTAGCCGAGCAGGACGAGGTGTCGCAGGCGCTGCTCGACCGATTCCGCTGCGCGCCGGTGTTCCTACCTGACCACCTCAACGACCGGTTCTACCACGGCTTCTGCAAGCGCCAACTCTGGCCTCTGTTTCACTACATGCTCCCCTTCTCATCATCCGCGTCTGCCGCCACCACCTCTTCCTCCATCGCCACTTCGTCACCAGGCAACGGTCGCTTCGACCGCAGCGCTTGGGAGGCGTACGTGCTCGCCAACAAGTTGTTCTTCGAGAAGGTCGTGGAGGTAATCAACCCGGAGGAGGACTACGTCTGGGTTCACGACTACCATCTCATGGCGCTGCCTACCTTCCTCCGCCGCTGCTTCAACCGCCTCCGCATCGGATTCTTCCTACACAGCCCCTTCCCCTCGTCCGAGATCTACCGCACCCTCCCTGTTCGCGAGGAGATATTGAAGGCTCTGCTCAACTGTGACCTCATTGGGTTCCACACTTTCGATTACGCCAGGCACTTCCTCTCGTGCTGCAGTAGGATGCTGGGAATTGAATACCAGTCCAAGCGTGGGTACATTGGATTGGATTACTTTGGCCGCACTGTTGGGATCAAAATCATGCCAGTGGGAATTCATATGGGTCAATTACAGTCAGGTCTGCGCTTGCCTGATAGAGAATGGCGACTTTCTGAGCTTCAACAGCAGTTCCAGGGGAAAACTGTCTTGCTTGGTGTGGATGATATGGATATCTTTAAGGGGATCAATTTGAAGCTTCTTGCCTTTGAGAACATGTTGAGGACACATCCCAAGTGGCAAGGGCGAGCAGTGTTAGTGCAGATTGCTAACCCAGCCCGTGGAAGGGGTAAGGATCTGGAAGCCATCCAGGCTGAGATTGAGGAGAGCTGCCAGAGGATCAATGGAGACTTTGGCCAGTCAGGGTATAGCCCTGTTGTTTTCATCGATCGTGATGTGTCAAGTGTTGAGAAGATTGCCTATTATACAATAGCTGAATGTGTGGTGGTGACTGCTGTGAGGGATGGGATGAACTTGACACCATATGAATACATTGTCTGTAGGCAGGGTGCACCAGGATCTGAGTCCATGTCAGAGGTGAGTGGGCCAAAGAGGAGCATGCTGGTTTTGTCAGAGTTTATTGGCTGCTCACCGTCACTGAGTGGTGCTATTAGGGTTAACCCATGGAATATAGAGGCAACTGCAGAGGCGATGAATGAGGCCATTTCAATGCCGGAACAGGAAAAACAGTTGAGGCATGAGAAACATTACCGTTATGTCAGCAGCCATGATGTTGCTTTTTGGTCAAAGAGCTTCATCCAAGACTTGCAAAGGGCTTGTAAGGAGCACTTTACGAGGACTTGTTGGGGCATAGGGTTGGGTTTTGGTTTCAGGGTGGTGGCCTTGGATTCTCATTTCACAAAGCTTAACATGGATCTGATTGTTAATGCTTATGAGATTTCAGAGAGCAGGGCTATATTGCTTGATTATGATGGAACTCTGGTTCCTCAAACTTCCATCAACAAGGAACCTAGTCCAGAGGTTTTGAGCATCATCAATACCCTTTGCTCAGATAGTAGAAACATCGTTTTTATTGTCAGTGGGCGAGACAAAGATACGTTGGGAAAGTGGTTCTCCTCATGTCCAAAATTGGGGATTGCAGCTGAACATGGTTACTTCTTGAGGTACGATTTTCCATTTCTGCAGAACTGATACTTTTTTGTGAAGTAGTTGCAGCTGGATTTTTTTTTTCTATATTTAGCAAGAACAATACAGCTGTCTTGTTTTTTTCATAGTTATTACTACTAAACTTTGAACTTACTGTATAAGGTTTTAAGTGGCTTGGATAGTTGTGCAACATGTCAAATTACATTGATTACATTCTCTGTGAAACTGGGAAGAGCTATAATGCATCGGAAAAGAGATTAAAAAACAAAACCCTTAATAGTGTTTTATGGAATTGACGAATTATGAAGGGAGTATTGCTACCTTTCATGGTTGATGGTTTTAAGTTTATCAATTAGCACTTCAATATTGTATGGAGGCTGTTAAGTTGGTTCTTAATGTTTCCCCTTTTTGGATTGTACGGAGCATTAACATCACTTAACCTAGAGATTGTATAAGAACATGAACGTGATAGATCAATCATAGGCTATCTTGTTTGCTGGTTAGTTTTTTAGATAATGTGTGCTAGTTAGTTAATGGCAGTAATTGGTTTAATCGGCTGCTATTGAATTGTCTTAGCTAGAAAGGCTCTGTGAAATAAGATTTCAAAATTTTGGTAGGTGGTCTAGAGAAGAAGAGTGGCAAACATGCACTCAGGCCTTGGACTTCGGATGGATGCAAATGGCGACACCAGTGATGAAGTTGTATACAGAAGCAACTGATGGATCCTACATTGAGACCAAGGAAAGTGCCTTGGTGTGGCACCATCAGGATGCTGACCCAGGCTTTGGATCCTCACAGGCAAAGGAGATGCTTGATCACCTGGAAAGTGTACTAGCAAATGAACCAGTCTCTGTCAAGAGTGGCCAGTTCATTGTTGAAGTCAAACCACAGGTTCGTTCATCTTTTAGCCTTTCAAATCCTTTCTTGAAGATCTGTGGTTTCAACTTATAAGTTCGTTATTTACGCCTTAAAAAATATTTCATATTATATTTTTCACGAGTCTAAAAGGTAGAGTTGAACTGTAGACCACTGAGTTCAGCTAGCACCCTTTGTTTTCTCACAGTTAATATGATAATTAGCTTCAAAAGTTTGAAAGGACCCAGCACAGTTCTTTTTCTTGTTGCAAATATGTTGGCTTCATTTTTGTTCAGTATTAAGCTAGTAGCTCCCCTCAGTTATAGAAGATCTCATTTGGGCCTGTTTTGGATTTTTATCTGGTTGTGGGAAAGCAACTTTCTAAAAAGCAGCATGGTGATGCTTTTCTGCAGATTTTAGAGTTTTGGCTTAGTAGCCTACTAGCCTTGTAGAAAAGCACTATTTTGTTTGCCTTATTGCCTACTAGGCTACTAGGCTGTAGTTACTTTACCACCTTTCTTGCCTTCTGCAAAATTTTTCCTGCAAGTGGTTAGTACTAGTCGTGAAGTATAAGTTGATTCATATGGTTTTTTTTTACCTTGCATGATTGACCTTCACTTAGTTTCTGGTATTTACTTATTTAAAATTGATTCCTTTGTTGTGCACTAATCTGCAGGGAGTAAGCAAGGGAATAGTTGCCGAGAGGATACTTGCATCAGTGAAGGAGAGAGGAAAGCAGGCGGATTTCGTATTGTGCATCGGCGATGATAGGTCCGATGAGGACATGTTTGAAAATATTGCTGATATCGTTAAGAGGAATGTGGTTGATCCAAGAACATCACTGTTTGCGTGCACTGTGGGACAAAAACCAAGCAAAGCCAAATTCTACCTGGACGATACATTCGAAGTGGTCACTATGCTGAGCGCACTTGCAGATGCCACAGGACCTGAACTGGAGACTGATTCGGCTGATGAATTGGCTGCATCTATCTCATCGCTTGATATTGGTGACGAACAATCAGAATCCAGTGATAGACCAATTGGAGGGTCTTAGCCAGTTTTCTCTTGCATTTTCAGAATATGATGATTGTTTCATTAGTCAATTCTACACGATTTTCTGATGGATATGAAGTTCGACTACTAACAACTGGTTCTACGGATGCTCCAAAGGGAAGCTTCTCAATCTGCTGTACTCCAGAGTTTCTCCAGTTGGGCAAGATAGTACAGTCTGTTGCTGCAAGGCGTAGATCCATACGGAGTATGTTCATAGCTGACTCGCCGACTTTCTTGGCACGTTCTTTCACTTTCTCATTTCTGGTTGAAGTAAAATGAAAGCCTCACAGAAGGCAAGGGAACTGTGTGTCTGAAGTGATTGTGGGGAGGTATAGGAGTGGGAAATGTGAAAGAACCACGTGCGCAGCTTGTGATATGATCCCTTATTAACACGACGTTACAAAGTGGTGTCACTTTTTGAACCATCAGTAGTAGCAATTTCAGGGGTGAGGTTTGAATTGATTAATTGATTCAAAGCCGGATCTTGGCTCCTTCTCTATGATGGTTTTGCTCCTACGTTTTTCCCTCATGTGCGTGTTTTTTTTAAGTTTTCTGGGGTTACGTTGAGAAATGCCTTTAGGTGGAAGATAGCATATTTTTAGGTGCCTGTCAATTTTGATTACCATTGCCCATCAGCGCTGGATGCTTGACGATTATGTTGGGCGTTGTGTGGCAGCTTTGCTTGTAGTAGTAGCAAAGGTTTTCTGTGGACTGGTCGCGTTCTTACCCTTCGATTTCTTCGGGTAACACGGACAACCATTTATGCTATCATGGATCTTGCAGTATAGGTTCCTAGCGAAGTGATGCGTCTCGTATCTATACTATTATATATAATATATGTATATATATATAAACAAAAAGTAAGTAAAACACTACGGAGTTCAACTGCCATGACCCTATTAGGGCATTGCCGATTTACTGGACGTTTGGTCAGCGTGAAATGTTCAGCTGGACAGAACAGACAGAAATCATGTAGAGTAGGCTGAAACATAGACCGGCCTAGGTACAGCCGATATGCACATACAGGCACTCATGAGTATTTTGCACAGTACCATGCGTGATGGCACCTTAAAAGCCATGGACCGGCCCAGGTATTTATACCCAGCCGATATGCTTATACAGGTACTCCTGATGAGCATTTTGCACAGCACCATGCGTGGTGACACCTTAAAATGCATCTGCGAACATGGAAATGCAAAGTGCATCTCAGCACGCCAACCTACCAACCATGCACAATGGCACGCGGGCCCCTGTAATTGCAAGCATCGTCTTGCAGAACAGGAGCTTGGAGACATCGCACCCAACGATCAAATCGTGCAGCAGCCGTATGCCATGTGGGCTGAACAGTGAACACACACACGGACACTAGAAATTGTAGCCGGTGCATGGTAAATACAGTACACCGTACTTTCTTGAGTACAGTGGACGCTGGAGCAGTGCCGTGCGTGATGCGTCAGCATCAGCAAGTTGATCTTGTCAGGGAGAAGCTGTCAGCAAGTTGATCTGGTCAGGGGACAGGGGAGATGCTGCCGGTGGGCAGAAAGGGCAATCTGAAGGCAGGGGAAGCATTGCCTCCCAAAGTCCCAATGTATTGTTACTCTCTCTCCACAAAAGAATACAGTTATGTGATTCGTGCCGATCAATCAAACTCAAGTTTGATCAAATTTATAATAAATAATATTAGCATTTATATCTCCAAATAAATTTATTATGAAAATATATTCTATAACTATTCTAATGATATTTATTTTCTCATGAATGTGGAAATTTTTTTATATATAAATTTAGTCAAAGTTTAAATAGTTTGACTCCTCGAAAAGCGAGAATTGCATTCTTTTATGGACGGAGGGAGTACTTGTTAGGTCAGGCATGAACGCAATCATCATATTCTAAACATTTGAACGAAGCAGATCCATATGATTACGGACCGGGCAGAAACTTTGGGAAAACGGGACATAAGCCGCCCAGGCCGGCATAACGAAAATAAAGGTCTATCATTCAACAAAGCTGAAAACAGTCTAAAAGATTTAACATTCTGGCAGTATACCAATAGGAAATTCAAACTTTCTCCAACAAAAAAGATGCACTTTTCGTTTTTTACAAGAGACAATCTATTTAAATTTTTTAACAAATATATATAGATAAAAAACACTAACATTTATGATATTGTATAAGTACATTGGATTAATCATGAAATATATTTTCATAATAAATTTATTTGGAGAATAATATTTTCCATAAATTTAGTCAGATTTAAAGAAATTTTGACTAGATCTAAATCTAAAATGAATAAATGAGACATGAAGAAAGAGAGGTAGCACATCTCTGAAAATTCTGACAGAAGTGGTGTGGCTATGAAAAACATGATGTTTCAGAAGTGCAATTGGATCTTTAGTCTATATAGATACTACTTCCTCCGTCCCAAATTATAAAGCGTTTTGGCATTTCTAGATTCATATTTTTTATTATGTATCTAGTTGCATAGCAAAAGTTATAAATCTAGAAAAGTCAAAACTTATTATAATTTGAAACGGATGAAGTACTATTCAAGAACAAAGTGAATATTATCTACATAAATAACCACGTCGACAAACCTGAGATATCATAGAAGCTGTGGACAACAGTCAGGAAGTGTCTACTGACCAAGTATGAATGCAGCACTCCTAACAAAAGTATATCAACTAGTCTCTGCATCATTCTAAACACGGCCAAAGTACAACGGGAAAAAGTATGAAGTCGATGTCAGTCAACATATCAGGTGCGGGTGGCGAAGATATGATACACTGCAAAGTACATGTCAGAGGCACCAACGTCCTATGTGTTTCTGTACTAACTGTTTTTCAGCTACAAGAAATACAAACAGTCAGGTTTTCTCCACCGAGGTGAGATGCCCCAGCTTTTCTGTCATATGTTCAACATTCTTCTTTCCCCACCAAAATTTTTCCCGATCTCCTATTCTCGTCTGATCCCCTTTATCCTCTCCATCTCGCCTTTCTGATTGGGCCTCCTGATGTGCATCAGAACCAGGCTGCTCCGTGAGGAACTGCTGCCAAAAGCCATCGTTTACCCCAGTTGCTACATGAGGCTCCTCGGCAGGTTGATCCCTTGACAGACCAGTTTCTGTAACAGCAGGCTCCATATTAACATCAATCTCAGACACCTTAGTTCGTGGATCTGTACAGGACTGCATTTGAGGGAGGGGAGGACTTTCTGCGCAGCTAGTTGACCCTGTTACATCACGAGAAGAGAGCGAATCACCTGCACCAGCTGAAGATGTATGCATCCTTAACACAGGTGATGGTACATGAGGATCACTTTCTCCAGATGAATGGAGCTCCGTGATAACAACAGCAGATGAAGGGCCAGGTAGACCATCATCATATGAAATATTAAATGCTTCACTCGCTTCCCGAAGGAGATTCTCCAATGAGTTCAAGGAAGATTCCATTTTGTCAAATGATTCCCTGCAAGCCGGTGGGCTCGTTAAGCCGCCTTGCACAATCTGGTTCCCCTCAGTATTTGCGTCTTGGTGGAGAGAAATAGGTATTGGTAGTCTCCTTTTCTTTCCGTGAAGATCAGGTTGCTGCACAAAGCTAGATAAAAATCCTGATGCTTGTACAATATCCCTGACATATGCCATCAGATTCTTCTGCCGATCCTCCAAAAAGATCAACTTATCTTCTAGCTCCTGCATTCGTTTCTCTGTAACAAGTTTCTTTTGTGCATTATTTTCAAGCTCTGAGGTCAGAGCTGAATTGTCAGACTTAAGCCTTTCAATCTCCTCCTCATAATCCCTCCTTTCAGTATCTGCTAACGGTCCAGATCCAGTGTGCGATGAATGGCTGAATATAGGCTTGCGCCTGTGTATATTTTTCAGTCGGTGCCGTTCTCCCCTAATGAAATCCTCATTTGCAAACTCCCATTGTTCAGGATCAATTTTCCTAAAGCCCTACACAAGAAGAAGCAGGAAGCTATTACCACAACATCACAGAAATATGAGTCGTCAAGGCTCATAAATCAGAAGAAACCATCCTAAATCATTTTGGTCTCTATTTGATTTAATTTGGGTGTGGAGAAAGATGCCACTTCAACAGCGTTTACCGTCAACAGCACTTCATTTGCCAAAAGGTACACTAATTCTGTTGGGTTAACACTTAACAGCACATCATTTGTCAAAACGTACACTAATTCTGTTGGATTTAGAAAAGGAGATGCTTACATCTCACCAAGATAACATGTACTAGATATATAGAGCAAAAATGGGCATATGGAATTAAAGCTATCGGCAAATTGCCAATACGGCAATACGCTATGCTATAACAAGAAAACAATTCATTCGGCCTAAGACGATACCCCTAAACAATTGTTCTACCATAAGGCTAACAAGATTCGGCCCCCAAATGCCAAATTGTAGAGTTTTCGCAAAGGCGCAACAGCCATAGCTGGCAGTAGCACGCCGCCACGCACCCCGATCGATCAAAACCGCAGGTGGACAGAGAGGGAGGGAGACGGGGCGAAGAAAAATGAAGGATCGCGCTGTGCTGGCTTACGTAGGTGTTCAGCTGCCGCACGAAGCTGGAGAAGTTGTTGTGCTTGAAGTACTTGGGGAGCAGATCCCTGCAGAACTCGGCCTGGTTAGCGACGACGAAGCTGGTCCCCGGCGGCGTCCACGCCACCACGGCGTCCGTGGCCGGGTCGTCCACCATCTCGTACGTCTTGCTCAGGAAGGGCGGCAGCGAGGACGCGCCCCCGCCGCCCGCCTCCATCCCCTCCAGACCACCGCCGCCTCCTCCTCCTCCTCCTCCTCAGGCTGCGGCGGGGGCGGCGGCGCGGCGCATGCCAGGTGTGAATTGTGATCCGAGGCGGCGGTGGCTCAGGCCGCTTGCTTGGGTTTGGTTGGTTGGTGGACGGGAGAATGGAAAATTTTCTGCCGCTCGGAATCGGATTGGTGGAAATTTCCAGAAGGCTACTCCAGATTGCTGCGTGGGCCTCGACCTCGATCGCGGAGCCGGAGCCGGAGCCAGGCGACGTCCGTCCGTCTGTCAGTGCGAGGTTTCTGCTTGGGTCGGGTCGGGTTGGGTTAGGTAAGCAGTGACGCGTTCAGGCGCCGCGGCTTGTGGAGGCGATGCGAATGCGATGGCATGGCATGGGGGAGCCGTGCGAGATCGGCCCTCAGGGCGAGTGGTTGGTAGCGGTTGTTGGTTTGTTTCGGCCCTCAGGGCGAGTGGTTGGTAGCGGTTGTTGGTTTGTTTGGTTTATGCGAGAAAAAATATTGGTTTATGTGAGAAAAATATTGTTTTGAATTTGAAAATTTACGATTGTTCTGACAATGCAATACCAAACGAATAGTACCGTGGATACCTCTCGCGGTTCTCCCCCTGACTTCCGCCGGCGGGTTGACTTCCTCGACATTTCCAACTCTAGCAGATGTGCCCTCTCCCTGTGGCCTGTGCAACCATTGGCGCCGCGTCGCTCTGTGACTACGTGATCCGCTACCGTCGGATCTGGGAAAAAGGAGCTTGTCGCTGCTTGTCTAGCAAAGTATTTCCTCCGTTCTAAAATAAATCAATTTATATAATTATCATAAATCAAATTATCACTCTTTCCGTCTTACTTTCTATATAAAAAAGGCCATAGAAGAAGAAACATTTTGCGGGCCGGGCCAAAAAAGTCCTGCCCATGACCGTCTCACTGGGAAAGTTAGACCTAATTTTTTAGGCCAGGCTTGGGCTAGGCGGGATGCCTGCATATTTTACCATGTAAGATAACTTAACGGCGCTATGATTTCGGTGGTAGATGGCGACGTTCCCGTCGATAGCGAGGCGCCTGTGGTGACTTCGTAAACCTTGAGATCTGCCAGCTCAGTCATTCGGAGGTGCTCATAAGGGTAGAGGTTTGCGTACGTGTATTCATAGGGGTGAGTATACGTGTATGTGTGGGCGTCTACGTTGTACTGTGTAATTCTAAAAAAACAATATTTTAGGGCGGGTTAGAGCTAAGAAAAAAATTCTATGTAGTGAGATCTATGCTCAGACCCTATCCACTAAAGGTTTGTGGGTGGGCCAAAACCTATCGGGCTCGAGCCGGTGAAAGCTCTAGTTTAGTTTTGTTGAATTGATGAAACCCTAAGTGCTAACCTAGTTTATCAAAGTGATTATGAGATAGTTAGCACTACTCCAAGTGATGAAGCAATGGTGAAAATCATGATGATGGTGATGGTATGATGATGATCAAATGCTTGGACTTAGAAAAGAAGAAAGAGAAAAATAAAAAGCTCAAGGCAAAGGTAAAATTTGATAGGAGCTTTTTTGTTTTAGTGATCGAGACGTTTAGTGAGTATGATCACATTTAGGATCAATAGCCGTACTACTAAGAGAGGTGAAACTCGTATCGAATTGCGGTTGTCAAAGTGCCACTAGATGCTCTAACTCATTGCATATGCATTTAGGATCTAGTGGAGTGCTAACACCCTAAAAACATTTATAAAAATATGCTAACGCATGTGCACAAGGTGATACACTCGGTGGTTGGCACATTTGAGCAAGGGTAAAGAAGATAGAGTTGAAAAGGAGTTAGTCGTGCTGGTCACAGAGTGACCAGACACGTCCGAAATTGGGACAGGATGCGTCCGGTATTTTATCCAGTCTTGGGGTAGTCAGACAGAAGTGACCGGACACGTCCGGAATCAGAACCGGACGCGTCCGATATTTGGACCCCGAGGTGAGTGACTAAGTGTAAGTGACTGGACTCTGGCTTTGTGGAGTGACCGGGCGCTGACGAGTTACTATTCAACGTCAGGTCAAAGTGATATAGCCCGATGCAGGATTATAGAGTGACCGGACGCGTCCGGCCGCCACACCGGATGCGTCCGGTGTGAACCAGCAAGTCTCGGGTTTTCAGCGCAATAATTCATCGGACGCTAGGAGCGTCCAGTCCGGTGTGATCGGACCCGTCCAGTCGACCCAGAGCAGCTCTGGGAGCTCTCTAGACTCGATCTGACGCTGCGTCTCCCGGGTCCGATCATTTTCTAACAGCACGTCCGATCACGTAGTATTACTGTACGCAGATATAGCCGTTGGACGCCAATGGCTAAACAATTTAAAAGGGATACGTGGCGGTCAGGCTGTGACAGGACGCAGCGACCGGACGCGTCCGGTGCACACGACCTGCGTGTCCGGTCGTACCGCAGTTAGCTCAATAATTGAGCCAACGGCTCTATTATTTGGGGGTGTCTATAAATATCGTTTGGCCGGCTCTAGCTCACCCTCTTGATCATTTACATTGACATAGCAACCTTGTGAGCTTAGCCAAAGCCCTTCCACTCATCTTCATCTTTGATTCATCATCTTTGTGAGATTGTAAGAGAATCCAAGTCCATTGCTTTAGTGTTTGCATCTAGAGGCACTTGGTATTCGTGTTTCGTTGCGAGTCTAGCTTGTTACTCTTGGTGGTTGTCGCCGCCTAGATGGCTTGGAGCAGCGAGGATCATCGAGTGGAGGTTGGTGATTGTCTCCGGCTCCGATCGTGGTGATTATGAGGGGTTCTTGACCTTTCCCCGGTGGAGAGCCAAAAGGTACTCTAATAAATTGCTCGTGGCTTATGTGATCCTCATCTTGTGTTGGTTGTGTGGCACCCTATTGAGGGTTTGACGTGTGATGACAATTAGCGCGTGAACCTCCAAGTGAGTGAATCGCCACAACGGAGACTAGCTTGCTGGCAAGCAAGTGAACCTCGGTGGAAAAATCATTGTGTATTGATTGTCTCCTTAGTATTCATTGGTATTCACTCATTGGTCACTTGCCATGACAGTATACCTCTCTACCACTCTCTTGTATTTCATTATACATTCACTTGGATAGAGCTAGTGGTAGTTAAGACTAGATAATGTATCATTTAATTGTATTACTCTCGCTAGGTTGATTGTCTAGATGTATATTAGTGACATAGCTTTGTTGTGATATACTAGAGATCATAGAAAATAGAATTGGATAGGTGGCTTGCAACCCCAAATATAGTGCTAGCGTAAAATTTGATTCACCATCTTATTGACTAATCATTTGTCTTAGTGTTGTAGAAATTTTTAATAGGCTATTCACCCCCGTCTAGCCATTAGGACCTTTCATGTGGTATCGAGCCATGGTCACCGTGATTTGAGGCTTAACAACCTTCGGTGTAAAAATGGTTTAAATCAACAACACCAAGAAGCCACCCCAATTTGATGGCTCAAACTATCCCTATTGGAAGGCTAAGATGACAACATATATCAAGTCAATCAATAATAAAGTTTGGAAGGTGGTGGAGACCAAGATTGAGATAGAGGATTCGGAGAACCCCACCATCGCCGAAGAAGTGCTTGTCCAAAACAATGACATTGCTCTTAGTGCCATTCATGATGCTATTGATGAGAACATTTGAGCAAATCAAGAACATTGAGATGGCTCATGAAGCATGGAAGAAGTTGAAGGAATCATTTGAGGGCACTCAAGCCGTGAAGGGTGCCAAGGCATATATCCTCAAGGAGAAGTTTGCTAGTTTCAAAATAAAGGAGGATGAGAGTGTACCGAAGATGTTTCATAGGTTACAAGTGCTTGTCAATGATCTCAAAGCACTTAGTGAGAAGGTGGAGGACAATGACTTCTCCCATAAGTTCTGGAGATGCTTACCCTTAAGATTTGGCACATTGGTCACTATTCTAGTGAGGAGTGGTTTGGACACCATGACACCAAACCAAGTGTTGAGAGATATAATGACCGATGATACATATAGAGATGATGATGAGAAGAAAGAAAAGAAAGAGAAGAAAGATGAGAAGGAGGATGAGAAGAAGAAGAGTGTGACATTCAAGGCCACATCATCTAAGGGCAAGGAAAAGCAAGAATCATCAAGTGAAGATAAAGACTTGAGCTTTGATAAGATAGATGATGAGTTGTCAAAAGATTTGGTAAGTTTATGATGAAGAAGAGCTACCGTGCTAGAAGAAAGAAGTTTTCATCCAAGAACAAGGAAGAATCAAGAAGGTGCTTTAATTGTGAAAGTAAAGATTATCTTGTTGCTCAATGTCCATATAATAGTGACAATGATGACAACAAGAAAAATAAGAAGAAGGACCAGAAGGAAAAGAAAGAGAAGAATAACAAGATGATTTTCAAGAAGAAAAATGGTGGTTCATATATGGTCACTTGGGATAGTGATGCTTCCTCAAGTGATGATGATGATAGTGATGATGACAAGACCACCAAGAAAAAGTCACTTGCAAGCATTGCTATCAATAAGAAGCATTCTCTCTTCGACACTCCATCATGCTTCATGGCTAAGGTCACTAAGGTACAAACTTATGATGATGGAAGCGATGATGAACATGATAATGAAAATAAAAATGAAAGTGATAGTGATGATAATGAACCAATTAAGGATGAACTACTTGATATGCTAGATGATGCTAAAGAACACTTTGACATTAAGAGAAGGGAATGCAAAAGCTTGCGTAAGGAACTAAAAGCCCTTAAGCAAGCCTTTGGTGAGCTCAATGCATCTCATGAGAGGCTAGAGAAAGCCCATGAGAAGCTTGGCAAGGCTTACAAGAAGCTTGAAAAAGCTCATTCTAGTTTGCTTCATGAGCAAAATGAGAAGAAGCATGTTGAGACATATAATGTAGGGTTAACTTGTGATCTAACTGATGAATCATTATATAAGCCTATCATTACTGCTCCCACTAACCTTTCTTGTAGCGCTTCCACTTCCACCTCATCTAATAGTGATGGTTTCACATGTAATGCCTCACTAATGGTTGAGAATGAGACCCTTAAGAAGAAGGTCAATGAGCTCACTCACATCTTGGCTAAGGCCTATGGTGGTGAGGATCGCTTGTTTATATGCTTGAGTAGCCAAAGAGCTTCTCTCTATAAATAGGGATTGGGCTATACCCCTAAGAAAGACAAGGCGGCCTTTGCTCCTCATAAGACTAGTTTTATGAAGACCAATGGTCGGTTTTGCACTAGTTGCAAGCAAGTTGGTCATAAAGAGCATGAGTGCAAGAACAAGAGCAAAAATGCTAATATATCCTCAATTAAGATTAATTCTTTCTATGTGCTTACTAAGGGTACAAATGGTGTGAAAGCTAAGTTCACTGGTACACCATGGATGGGCTCAAAGAAGAAAGCTATTTGGGTGCCAAAGAGCTTGGTCACTAACCTTTAAGGACACAAGCAAGTTTGGGTACCTAAACAGAATTGATCTTCTTTTATAGGTCAATTACAAGACATTGGGTTTTTGATATTGGGTGCACTCAACACATAACTGATGATACAAGAATGTTCAACTCAATCAATACCAATGGAAATGATTGTTATGATAGTATCACATTTGGTGACAATGGCAAAGACAATGTCAAAGGGCTTGGTAAGATTATAATATCCAATAACATGAGCATATCCAATGTGTTGCTAGTAGAGAGCTTGAACTTTAATTTATTATCCGTAGCTCAATTATGTGATCTTGAATTCAAATGCATATTTGGGGTAGATGATGTAGAGATCATAAGTGTAGATGGCTCTAACTTGATCTTCAAGGGCTCTAGATATGAGAATTTATACTTGGTTGATTTCAATGCTAGTGAAACTAAATTATCTACATGTTTGTTCACTAAGTCTAGCATGGGTTGGTTATGGCATAGAAGGCTTGGTCATGTTGGAATAAAACAATTGAATAGATTGGTCAAGCATGACTTGGTTAAAGGCTTGAAAGATGTAGTGTTTGAAAAAGATAAGCTTTGTAGCTCTTGTCAAGCCGAAAAACAAGTTGGAAACACCCATCTTAAGAAAAGCATGATGAGCACTAGTAAAGCATTTGAGTTATTGCACATAGACTTGTTTGGGCCAACTCAATACACTAGCATTGGTTGTAACAAATATGGCTTTGTGATAGTGGATGATTATACTAGATACACTTGGGTATTCTTTCTAGTGGATAAAAGTGATGTATTTGCAACATTCAAATTATTTGTAAAGGGCATTCACAATGAGTTTGAAACAACCATCAAGAGAGTTAGAAGTGACAATGGTAGTGAGTTCAAGAACACTAGAATTGATGATTGTGTGATGAATTTGAAATTATACATCAATTCTCGGCTAAGTACACTCCACAATCAAATGACCTTGTTGAGAGGAAGAATAGAACACTCATTGATATGGCAAGGTCTATACTTAGTGAGTACAATGTGAGTCAATCTTTTGGGCCGAAGCTATCAACACGGCTTGCTATTGTAGCAACCGTCTCTATTGTCAACCATTGAAAGAGAAGACACCATATGAGCTCTTGAATGGTAGAAAGCCTAACATTGTATATTTTTGGGTCTTTGATTGCAAATGTTATATCTTGAAGAAATGCATTAGATTGGGCAAGTTTGACAATAAATGTGATGAAAGATTCCTACTTGGATACTTAACTCCTAGCAAAGCATATAGAGTTTGGAATTTGGATAGTGGTACTCTTGAGAAAGTTTATGATGTTGAATTTGATAAAACCAAGGGTTCACAAGAAGAGAATGAGAACTTAGAAGATGTTAGAGGCATTCAACTTTGAAATGCCATGAAGAACATGGATGTTGGTGAATTGAGGCCTAGGCAAGTGAATGATGATGAAGATGATCAAGTGCAAGTGCCCTCTAACTCAAATGTGCAAGATGATACAAATCAAGCTAGTACAAGTGGCTCTCATAATAATTGAGCCAAATGCTCTATTGTTTAGGGACGTCTATAAATATCATTTGGCCGGCTCTAGCTCACCCTCTTGGCCATTTGCATTGACATAGCAACCTTATGAGCTTAGCCAAAGTCCTCCCACTCATCTCCATCTTTGATTCATCATCTCTGTAAGATTGGGAGAGAATCCAAGTGCATTGCTTGAGTGTTTGCATCTAGAGACACTTGATATTCGTGTTTCGCTGCGGGTCTGGCTTGTTACTCTTGGTGGTTGCCGCCACCTAGACAGCTTGGAGCAATGAGGATCATCGAGCGGAGGTTGATGATTATCTCCGGCTCCGATCGTGGTGATTGCGAGGGGTTCTTGACCTTTCCCCGGTGAAGAGCCAAAAGGTACTCTAGTAAATTGCTCGTGACTTGTGTGATTCTCATCTTGTGTTGGTTGTGCGGCACCCTATTGAGGGTTTGGTGTGTGATGCCAATTAGCGCGTGAACCTCCAAGTGAGTGAATCGCCACAACGGGGACTAGCTTGCCGACAAGCAAGTGAATCTCGGAGGAAAAATTATTGTGTCTTGATTGTCTCCTTGGTATTCATTGGTATTCACTCATTGGTCACTTGCCACGGCGGTATACCTCTCTACCACTCTCTTGTATTTCATTATACATTCACTTGGATAAAGCTAGTAGTAGTTAAGACTAGATAGTGTATCATTTAATTGTATTACTCTCACTAGGTTGATCACCTAGGTGTATATTAGTGACATAGCTTTGTTGTGATATACTAGAGATCATAGAAAATAGAATTGGGTAGGTGGCTTGCAACCCCAAGTATAGTGCTAGCGCAAAATTCACTTCGTCATCTTATTGACTAATCATTTGTCTTAGTGTTGTAGAAATTTTTAATAGGCTATTCACCTCCTCTAGCCATTAGGACCTTTCAGCCGGTCCCACGATCAGAGACGACCCGGGCTAAATTTGCTCAGGTGTAAGAAGGAAGCACTATCACTCGCTATATATCATATACAATCTCTGACAAATATAACCCCCAGCTAAGCTTATGCGTATACCCTACTTCCGCTGTCCCAAAATAAGTGCTCATCTTGCACTTGAAGAAGTTAATCGATCTATTTTAACTAGATTTATAGAAAATAATATTAATATTTATATTTCTAAATGAGTTAATTATTAAAATACATGACATGATTAATCTAATGACATCTATTAGGTATCATAATCATTAATGTCGTGTTGTGTATATTTGGTCAAACTTAAAAGTGATTGACTTCTCGAAATACGAGATATGTACTTATTTTGAGACGGAGGGTGTAAGTGGCCAAATCAATATTCATAAGGCGATTCACCTCTCTTAATACAAACATGATTGCGTTTTACCTAATCGTGTTTGTATAACAGCACAAAACGTCACATGTATGTGTGGTATTCTTTGATGCCATGTTTATTCACACGCATTTCCAGCATTCAGTTACATTCCCAAGACTTTTACCCCAAGATAGGTCACAACGAGGAAGAACATGCCTCTTCTACAAACACAGAAGAAAATACCAGACCCCGCCACCCAAGAAAATTGGTTATGAAAACAGTCGATCAATCCCCGTATGTCCAGATGGCACCTTCCAATTTAAGTTGCAGGCCGAACAATGAAACAATCTACCACCTCATATCATATCAGGTCAAAATTACAAACTTCAACTGGAAAATCGAGATTTTAGGTTGATTTAAACCGTACCATATTACATGACTACTCATTGACAGAAATATGACTGAATTTCATGCTTTGGTAAACATCCAAATTACAAAGAGGATTTATACTCCCCCCTGGTCAGAGGCATAATTATGAGGATGGCATTCAAAACAAAGAGCAAAACCTTCTGGGGAGGAAATCGTCACTGCATCCTTTTCAATCGATGGAATTCTCTAACCAGTTTTTTGTATTCTTTTATCCCTGATCGGGAGTGGGACAGGTTTTTGAGCCTCGTGCGAATGTTCTGCCCCTTTGTATACCTTGAGGTGGGTAAATAATCTTCTTCCCAGCTGCAAAATGTCCAAAAAGATGAGCAAAATAAATAGAATAAGTATATAGCATATTATGAAACTAAGTTAAATTAATAATTTCATCAACTTGAAGAATAGAATGGCAAGGGGAAATGATTCAGATAACAAGATATTTGCCTGCCAGAATAGAGTTTCAGTAACTGCATCCATACTACCCAACAATTGAACTAAGAAGCAATTTCTTTTTGCAAGAAAAGGTTAAAAGGCAAATTTTTCGGGAGTTCACACAACACACCTTTGCGAACTTACACAAAAAAATGAAAGAAAAAAAGGTTCACAAAATAATTAACTTATTCAACAACAACAACAACAACAACAACATAGTCTTTCAGTCCCAAACAAGTTGGGGGAGAAGCAATTTCTTTTTGCAAGAAAAGGTTAAAAGGCAAATTTTTCGGGAGTTCACACAACACACCTTTGCGAACTTACACAAAAAAATGAAAGAAAAAAAGGTTCACAAAATAATTAACTTATTCAACAACAACAACAACAACAACATAGTCTTTCAGTCCCAAGCAAGTTGGGGGAGGCTAAGGCAAATTTTTCGGGAGTTCACACAACACACCTTTGCGAACTTACACAAAAAAATGAAAGAAAAAAAGGTTCACAAAATAATTAACTTATTCAACAACAACAACAACAACAACAACGACATAGTCTTTCAGTCCCAAGCAAGTTGGGGGAGGCTAGAGTTGAAACCCACCAAGAGCCCCAAGTCACGGTTCAGGCACTTCAATAGCTGCTTTCCAATTAACTTATTCAATCTGGACTTATTAATTTTGTTCAACAACAGCATTCCCTTGAATTTAGTCCTGTGATTTATTCTGAAAGTCACGCTTTCATTCACATGCTGATGCATGAGCAACACTTTGACCCCAATACACTTCACCATTAACCATCGTAATTCTCAATCTCAAAAATATTTCCACAGCTGCTAACTAATATCAAGTTGTAAATTTGTAATTTTTGGGGCCTCAAAAGAAAGGTCACCCAGAAATTCAGTTGTCATTTTCATATTTGGTATACATTACAACATGTGCACTAAAACAAGAAAGAAAACATGTAGACCTGAGGCAATCAGCTAGTACAAGATGGTGTCTTACCCTGCCCTTGGGGAGCATGCCACGAACCGCATGTTCGACGATTCTCTCTGGAATTCTTTTCTGAAGTTGGTCAAAAGTTTCTTCTTTCATCCCTCCAGGCCGTCCAGAGTGCCTCCTATAGAGCTTTTGCGACCGCTTTTTACCAGAAACAGCAACCTTCTCTGCATTGACCTATGTGAACATAAAAAGTTGTTAAAGACTTTCAGCATAGTAGCACAATAATGCATAGCATCTATGTGGCAATGGGCCTTCAGAGATACACCAGTCACAAAAGGACTATGCACAACCACAGTTTCAAGACTATTTGAGGAAGCTTATTCGCCTCAGTACCAAATAACCTGAGGGAAGTAGAATACCATAGTGTGTATACTAACACTATAGGTATTGAGAGGATGCTTACCACAATAACAAAAGCTCCCATGTCCACACTGGGAGTGTAAGTGGGTTCATTCTTTCCCCTGATATGTACTGCAATGGTGGATGCTAGCCTGCCTAGAATCTTGTCTGTTGCATCAACAACATACCATTTTTTATCCGTGGTTACGTGATCTGCAGCCTTAGGATACCAGGTTGTATTCCATATGTCCTGCAAATTAATTACTCAATCGGATTTCAGTACGACTCAGGTCCTAGTGGAGTAATTCATAAGAAGAAGAAAGAACAAGGCATGGTACCAACGAACCGTTCACATTGTGCCCATACTAACTGATCCTAAACTGTAATGAACAGGCTGGTGGGCAACCAGAGCCAAGGCAACCATCGCACATGTAGTCCGAAAATGTAATTTCTCATACGACATCAATTTACTTTGACTTCCATCTCCTATTAAGCTCATTTCTACTGAATTCTCAGTCACCATAAACAGCCCATGGCTAATTTTGGATGTGATGGATCATGGCAGATAACATATATAATGTAAGCAGTAATATTGTAACTTGATTACTCATCATCATGCACATAAAAGGCTAATCTGAGGTGGATTAAGATGAGCTCGGTGAAACATGAACAAACTGGGATGGACAGGCAGTCCAGGGCTACGATTCTGTAAACAAGCTGCGAAAGTGTGCACATTGTTTCAAGAGAGGAAAGAGAGGGCGTCGTACGGGGCCGCAGAGCTCGTCTCCCTCGAACATGAAGCGCTGCTCGCGGGGCACGAGCGCGGAGAGCGGCTGCCTCTTCTGCTTGTCGCTCTTCTCGCACCGCACGGCCAGTCCCACCGGGGCGGCCCGGCGCGGGCCCGCGAGCCGGGTCAGGCGGCGGTGGTGGCGCGGGGCGAAGGCGGAGGAGAGGAACGTAGGGGAGGCGACGGCCGTAGCCATTGCGGCACGGCGAGCGAGCAGCAGCAGGAGGATGTGGTGGTGTCTCAGACGGTTGGTTCAGTGGGACGCGGCCATTTTTAGGCGAGGTGGGGAGCGTCGAGCGGATAAGACTATCTCAAGCGACAACACCCAGAATACAACGGCCATTTGAACTTCTGGTTACGATCCATTCAGCATCTTTTTCGACGACAGAGTCTAAAAAGAATCTTTTTTTAAATAAGTTTTCAAGAGAGAGGATGCTCATAAGACAATATAAAATAAGTCTTCCGTATAGATAATCTGTTAGAGTCTAATTTTAAGTCTATATTATTCATTTTAGATTTAGATGTTCATAGATCTTAGATCTTGTTAGAGACAGTCGGGGATTGGAGACAGGAGACAGAACAGGGAAGGTTAACAAGAGCATTTGGGTACCTAAAAAAAAGAGCATTTGGGCTTCATAGGCCCAGAACCAAATGCTGATTTGGCCCATTATGACACCTTATCAGCTCAGCTCATATGAGATTCAAACGCTTCATTTGAAACTCTTTCCACAGTGGAGGGGGGGGGTCCATCTCAAAAAAGAAATTCAATGTATTGCGCAAAGAAGGAAAATGCATTAGAAGAACATGGCCAACAGCTGCGCTAGTCGTTGGAGGAAACAGAACTGCGCAATCATAATTTTCGCTTCCTCCTGCCATTAACGCGTGATGGGCCGTGCGCGACCCATCTTCCTCCTCACGACGCCTTCTCCCCCGCCTTCTTCCTCCCCGCGCCCCTCCTCCGCAGGAGAGCAGATCCCTAACCCACCGAAACCCTTGCCGCCGACATCTTCTTCTTCGTCTCCAGTGGGGCGCAGGCTCGCGGGTAGGAGGAACAGCGTGGGAGAGCGGGAGAGGAAGAGGGAGCATGGGAGCAGGTTGCACTCCAGCTCGACGGTCGCATATTTGCATTTCCCTTTGTTCAAATGATTCCTCTGTTCAAGTACCCCGCTAAAAACAAATCAGCATAAACCAAATTTCAGTAAAACGTTGTGGGCCAGTTCACTTGGACTACTTTAGCAGCACTTTTCAACGAATGAACAATGTTTTCCCCTCACAATAAATCAATATAAGTCAAATTTCAGCGAAACAAACAAGGATATTCAGAGGCATTCTCAACTCCAAATAAATGATGGGAACAGAAAATCTCCATTGCTGCTTAGTTTCCGCGACAGCCATCAGCAGCAGAAGCCGAATTAATTGATAACGGACACCATTTTCACATGTTCAACACGTCAGGAAAGAAAAAGGGGGCAGAACAATGTTCATTCTCTTCTAACCAAAGTAGACGATATCTTTTACATATAGTGGCAACATCGTGTGATTGTGTTGCAGTAAAGCAACAGCTTAACGTGTTTCAGGTTCAGATCCGTGATTCCTTTACAGTAAGAATGCAAAGATATAATAATAATATACAACAACAAAATTGTGAACCAGAGATGTCGACGATTAGAACCATATGTAAATCAATGGTTAGTTGACTACCAGCACATGAATTGGGGGAAAGGTTACGAAGTAGAAGACTATGGATTTGTCTGTGTAAGAGGTTTTACTTTCCTTGTGTGACCCAAACTATTCACAAGGTCCCTGCGAGTGCATACAGGAAACATGCTCATTCCATGCATGTTTAGTCGCCACAAAACATATGGAAAACTGAGCTGATCACGAGATGTGAAACGAACCACTTCATTAAACCAAGCACACATGAAATGGTTCGGTGCAGGGGTGAGTTCCCTCACAATAACAGAGGCTTCAGCAAGAGCTGAAAATCAAACAGGTAAATTCATCGTATCAGACCTGCTTCACAGTTCGCAGAGCATATACAGAAATATTCAACAGGAGCACAAGAATAATTGTTTGAGAAAGATTAACAAACTGACCTTTCAGTCCGTGCAATCTTTTTGTGTCCGGCATCCCATCTTGACGATACTGAGTTAATTGTACCTCTACCTCTTCAGGAGTAGCCTTGTGCTTTTGAACAATAGCTTTCCCCTCACCATATATGTTACTCCGTGCTCCATGTTCAGAGATAGCAAATGTAGAGTTTGTCCTCCAAAGAAGAGCTTCCAGCACTCCTATAGGATCCCTTCGAAATTGGTATTTAGAATCAACCCATATGGAGTACCTTGCCTCCGGGAAAAGGCGATGAGCCAACATCTGCAAAGATCATGTTAGGTGATTTGGTATCAGAACACATGGTGTTGCCCTATCCTAAAAATAAAATTTCAGGCTTAGGAAAGTGAGGATGATAATAGCAGCAAATTATTTTACCCATGTTTCTATCATGACAAATTGGTAGAGAGGATAGATTATGGCATCTTAAGGTTTCTACCTTTGGTATCTTCCCATTTAATCGTTGATCTACAAAAGGGAGGCTCCTGACAACAATGATCCGCCACCTTCCTATCATGCCATCATCACCGATTACCTTTCTTTCAGCTTCCTGAGTTGATAGTGTCACTTCATCCCAAAAAGCCACATAGCAAACCTGCTTTACCACAAGACCATGCAAACTCGTATAATCATCAAATGTGATGGTTTACTCTGACGTTCAATTCTGAAAATCTTGGAGGATGCAATACCCTGCCAATTGAAGAATTATCCATTCCAATAGGTTGATATAGATCATCCCCACCACCAAATGCACAGGTAGACACAACAACTTTACAGGCTCTCATGTATCTCCTGTCCTCCTCAGAAATTTTGAAGCCACCATTGTCGCTGTAGAAACCACAGTGCACACTAACAGTCTCATTCACCTGCAGAAGTATGGAAACACATTAAACATGTCAGGGAGGCGCAACTTTGTGACAGCAAAACAGTACACATAAGTAAGCCTTACAACCTTGAAGCTATCTTCTCTTTCAGCAAGTGTCTGAAATCCTGTAAACAGGTTAAACCTTGTTGCTTCAGCATGTTGCAGTAAATATGTAGAGTTTGCTTCGGAGTGGTACGTGTCATAGTCATTGTCATCAGATTTGTACGTGATTCTGTTCACCACATAACCAAGTCTTGTGCCCTCCGGGAACGCCAAATTTGCCAAACTTTTGGGGCTAAGGAGCTTCAAGCAAGCTGTCAATATCAACGCCACAAAAACTAATCATGCCACTCTTAACATTCAGTTTGTAGGTGAAGTCAAACTAATGAAGAGGCTAAAGACTCTGGTATCCAAACAAGGAAAAGCTTACTGATCTGTGATCTTTCAGAACATCACACGAAAAACGATCTCTGACTAATAAGTAGAAACGAGCACACAGCATTTTCACACTCCTATTCTGCCTGATGTATCAATACTTTGAAAGCGTGCAAGATCTAAAATGTTCAGATCAATCGCCCATGAATATCTAATTAGTTGTGCAAAAACAGCAATCAGCACCGACAAAAGTACGGCATATCGTCGTGCAATGCAGCACTGGCGTTACCAATTAGCCACACCAATTCCTTGCTAAATTTAGTCAATTCGTCACCAAACATCCTCTACAATCGCCAGGGGCACGGGGGAGTAGGAACAGTTTATGCGTAGATCGAACTAGAGTAGGTGGGGGGAACTCACGCTCGCGCACGCCATGGACGAGGTGTGTGGTCGGGTCGAGCCGTCCGAGGCTGGAGACCGGTGGGGCGGGGCCCGGGGACGAGGCGCGGAGCCGCGAGGCCTCGAAGAGGAGGAGCGCGACGGCCGGGAGGAGCAGGAGGACAGGCCACCACCGCGCCACCAGCCGCACCGCTCGCTGCCCCAAGCTACGCCCTGCCGCCTTCCGCCTTACAGCGCGCGGTCTCCGTGTCGGTGCCGCCGCAGCACCGTCGTCGTCGGAGACCGTGATGGAGATGCTTCGGATCGTCGACGACGGCATCGGGAAGGAAGCGGTGGCGAAATGGTGGCCGTGGTGGGTTTGCCATTTTAGCGGATGGATGGGCTCGTGGTCGTGGCCTGGGAAGAGAGAGCCCAACCAAGGCGGCCCATCTTTGACGCTTCGGCACTCCGGCGGGCTACGGGCCACGGCCACTCAAAAATCACGCACAGCACCGCAGTCTGCGACATTTGTCCGTCGCGGCGTCGCTACAGCTGTTTCAGTCATCTGCCACCTCGGTCACATGCCGTCTGCCACGTCGAGACCACGAGCTCCATACGTGTCACGCCCAGCCATTCCCGATGTCTCCGGTCTCGTGTTTTAAAGAACGCGCCGGAGCTCACCCATCCGATGTCGTAACACAAGGCTGAGCAAAGCGAGTTCGATCTACCCGAATCCGACGATGGTGGATCCAACGGTGAGGCGGGGGGCTCGAGCCCCCTACCCATACTGGAGGAGTGGGGAGCTTCATAAATTTTTAGACAAATTTCTACAGTAATGTAGGTAGAATTGAGACTTAAGATCGAACAGCAGTCGAAGATAAATTGCCGTAGTGTAAATGGGGCTGAGACTTGAGATCGAACAGCAGTCGAAGATAGGTTACCATCAGCCCCCGTAAAATTTTTTCTGGATCGCTGCGTCCAGCGACGGGAAACCACTGCCAACCTCGGCCTCTGCGGGCGGCGCCGGCGGCACAGCGCCCCCGGGGCAGCCGACCACGGTGGCTTCCAAGGTGCTGGACATGGGCGCGGCGGCGATGCAGTCGCTGCGCCCCGTGAAGCAGGTGAAGCAACACGTGTGCACGTTCGCGCTGTACGCGCACGACCCGAAGCAGCAGGTGGAGACGCACCACTACGTCTCCCGCCTCAACCAGGACTTCCTCCAGTGCGCCGTCTACGACTCCGACAGAGCCGACGCGCGCCTCATCGGTGCGTGCACCGTGCACCCATCTAATCTTTGGCATCAGCTTATGAATCTTTGAACTGCATGCAGGCGTGGAGTACACTTGCAGCCCAGACTCAATAGCCTGGAGATGGACACCAGATGGACAATATTCCACGCATTCAACGGACCGGGTTCAGTTCAAAGGCTTATATAGAAGATACAAGCCAAACCTAATTTGGAAAGCTCG